GACACAAAGGCAGAGAAAAGGTAAGATGAGCACTGTGAAGTGGTGGAATACGACGTACAGTGGGGTTATGGTAGTTTGAAGTGAGAAGTCAACTGCCGAATAATAAACTTTTTGCTGTATAAGTATACATTCCCCAAGGTGAACCACGTGGAAGTAAGTCTATCGCACACCCCTAGATCTAAACTTAAAAGCGGTGAGTTCTAATAATTTATTTTTTGTTTCAAATGGCAGGCTCTATGATATTTATCATCAGCCATTAAACTTTGACTTCAGCTTCTCCCAAGGGTGAGGGGTACATATAAAGCAGTCAATTAATAGCAGTTCATTAGCTGTCTTCTTGCTTCCCAGTATCTCTGGCTTTCTATCATTGTCTTTAGGGCTGGACACCGAATCAGGTGGGTCTTCTCCATTTCCTCCTGTAGGTTACATAGGAAACATGTAGGTTGAGTGCATACTCCCAAACTGTGAAGGTGTTTTGCCAAGCAATCGTGTCCGGTACGTAGTCTAAACTCAGCAACGGCTTCGATTCTTGGCCAGTCGGCTATGTCGGAGAGTGACACTGTCCACTGCTTTAAGGTCGTTGCACATTGAGGTCTGGAATTCTCTTTTGATTAAGGGCTTCATTGAGTGGAAAGACATCGGCCGGTCCATGCATTGCAAAATCGTTGTCCCCTTCTTACCAAGTGTGTCAGCAAGCTCATTGCCTCTAATGCCACAATGACCAGGAATCCATTGTAGGACCACTGTTTTGTTTTTCTCTCTCAGCAGCTCATAGAGTTTTCTACATTCCTTTATCTCAGCTGTTTAGGGTGTCTCTCTGTTTCCAATTGAGTTTATTGCTGACTGAGTCCGAAAGTATCACCGCTTTGGTGAATTTCGTATCTAGGCAACATAATTGGTATATCCTAATGGCTTCTATTTCTCCATCAAAAGCGGATCTATTATGACCCGCTGCTGCGTAGAAAGAGAAGAGCTCGGAATAGAACCTTCACCAATATTTGCTTGGTTTTCTATGTATGACCCATCAGTGAAGACTTGGAGCCACTGATCTGCAGGATAGTTGACATTGATTGTCGTGAAGACTTGGAGTGCAGGATAGTTGACATTGATTGTCTCAAGGGCCAGCAGGATAGTTGACTTGATTGTCTCAAGGGCCAGTGAGCGCATTTGCTCTGGAGCGGTGTTTGATTTCCTGAAGAAGTCAAGCAGTTGGGTGCAATACACTACATCAACGTCTGCTAATGGGTTCATGGGGAGAGAACAAGTGTCTGCTAATGGGTTCATGGGTAGAGAGAGGCTTTTTGGGTCTGCTAATGGGTTCATGGGGAGATGTCTGACGTCGAGCAGTTGGGTGCGACACACTACATCAATGTCTGCTACGTCGAGGAGTTGGGTGTAACACACTACATCAATGTCTGCTAATGGGTCGCAGTTGGGTGCAACACACTACATCAGTGTCTGCCAATGGGTTCGTGGGCAGAGAGAGGCTTTCTGGTTTGTCAATGATTTGTAATGTTTTCTTCAGTTCGATGACTTTCTGTATTAGACCAGATTGCGTTTTCAGATGTCACTCATGGGTGCTGAAGAACTTATCCATGGGAATGTACAGTATTTGCAGCTTGCGTTTTCAGATGTCTTGGTCTATTCTCATAGGTGCTGGAAGAACTTATCCATGGGAATGCGCAGTAGATTCTCATACGTTATCCATGGGAATGCGCAGTAGCTTCTCAGACAGGATCAATCCATGGGAATGCGCAGTAGCTTCTCAGACAGGATCAAGGCCTTTTCTTTGATAAGGGAGCCTCTTGTGGTGTTAGGATCAAGGCCTTCTCTTTGATAAGGGAGCCTATTGATGTGTTTCCTGTAACTTGGAGCATTGCATCAATGGGTGTTGGCACTTCCTGTAACTAGGAGCATTGCATCAATAGGTGTTGATTTTATTCCTCTAGTAATTAGTCGTAATGCTTGGTTGTGTGCCTTCTCGTATTGATATGAGAGTCACCTCTGTGGCTGTAATGAGTGGCTCACAGTTGAAAGTCACCTCTGTGGCTGTAATGAGTGGCTCACAACAATAAAACATTTTTGGCTGAATAAACATCTTGTAAGTGGTGTTGAAACGGCTGAATATTTCACAGCAATACAACATTATTGGCTAAATAAACATCTTGTTAAGTGGTCCTAGAGTTGAGCGCTACAGGCGCCATACGCTACCAGCAAGACGCTTCAGTACATTCAGTCAATGGGAGACTCGTTATGCTATTTTAGTAGTGTGATTTTTCCACGATAGCTTTGTGTCAAACGTCA